TTTTTTTTTTTTTTTTTCTTAGACGACGCGCAGCGTGATGTATCCAATGCTGCAGCCAAATATATTAAAAGATTTGTGTTTGACTTGGAGGAACATTTCGTACACGGTCGAGAAAAAGGTCAATGGCGGTAGTCTTCGAGCAATTTTCGGTCTTCAACACACTGAATTCATTCAACTGCTCAATGGAGGTATAATTCGTAATAAAGGGATTAAGAAAATTCAATTTACAGTCTACGATCCATAAAAGAATTGAAATAATAAATTAATGAAGTAATTAATTCTTCGATATACTTTTAGTCAACGGTATAGTTAATTCTGGAATGTTGATGGCGATTATGGGACCAAGGTAACACTTCTTCCAACTTCTCTTTCAACCCTGGAATACTAAACAGATTACAAATCTGTTTCGTCTGACTTAATTAAATCATCAGTAAATGTGTATCAAATTATTGAACTAACAAAGATTAATTACACATTCACATTCTCTGCTACCTAGTGAAACATCCAATATTCGGCTTCGTCTATAAAAATAATTTTTACCACTCTTTCAATGCTCTAGTGATCAGTAAAAATATTTCGATTCATTAGGAACAATCAATTGATTGTCTTTACGTACAAAATTTGCAAATCGTTCCCATTGAGATTTTAACAATCCCGGTTATAGATATAGTTTATTGACGCGTTTCATATTCCCATTGTAGCGGAAAAGGGAAAAGATGGGAATGAAATTGGATGTTCAGAGCGTGGCTGGTGAGAATTACGAGTGCTTAGTATTCCTGGGTTAATTGTTTCCAACGCGTGGAATGTTCGTCCTATTCGTTAAAAAAGAACTTCTCGCTTTTGCAGCGGCGCCGGGAAAACCACGTTGCTCGCGACGATCAGCCGCCGTGTGAAAGGTTCATAAGTTTCACCTTCCTTTCTTGTGTTTCGCGAATTAACCCCTGACAACAAAACCAAGATGGTATTGCAGATGACAATGGAGCTAGTCACGGATGAAATTTCTTTCTCAGATATCGAAATTAAAGGTGTAAACGAGAGAACATCTTTGTTGATTTGAAGGAAAATAGAGGAGTTGTTTGTTGACTCAAATTTGAAATCGAGGAAATTTCTTAATTGTGTTCGAGTACTTGTAGTGTATCTTCTCTGAGATATTCTTTGTTTGGATAAATTTTTTTAAGAACCATCGTTAATGAAACTTGATAAATTTTCAAATTTTCCTTATGAAATTTTATTTCTTAACAGTCATGGTTATAAAATTTCGATTTATTTAATACGTTTTCGTTGCAACACAGATTCACGTCTATTTATTAAATAATTATTTATAACGAACTATTACTTGGTCTTTAATGCGTAAACAGATTATAATGAAATATAATTGTCCAATAATTATTATAATTATGTTGTAATTTAATAATAATTATGATGTAGTTTCTAGAGGACAATTGATATAAGAGAATTTTTTCCCCTCCTCTGTTTCGAAATATTCACCGTCATTTTGCCATTTTGCCACCAAAACTGGCAGAATTTTGATCAGTATGAATTTTCAATCGATAGGGGAAGCGACAGGTGACGTTCTATTAAACGGGAGGCCTATCGATACCGGAAAGATGATAAGGATATCTGGATTCGTTCCACAAACGGACCTGGCTGTCGAATCGCTGACAATCCTCGAGCACATGGAATTCATGGTTTGTTCAATTACAATGCTTTGATTAACCCTTTTCTGATTCTTGAATTTCTGTTTCTTTAAGAAATTAGATATTTTAATTTTAATATATGATTGTTTGCATTCTCATGGTGGATATTATATCGCATACGTGATTTTAATTGCACTGATACCAATTTGAATAAAAAATATGATATAATTAATAACCAATGACATAATAATATTATATGATAATTAATATAATTAATAATATAATATAGAATATAGAAGTAGAGAAGTATAATTGTCATACCATAAGATTTATATAATAATATTTTGAATGGTTTAATCTAATGGATCAATCAATCTTCTTCAAA